CTGATCTCACGGCCCGGGGACGATTTCTCCTGCGGCTCGAGGAATTAATTCCGTGTAAATGTGGTTAGGATCAGCCTCCTGATGGGGATTTTACTTGGTAGTAGCCCGTAAAGACACAGTATTTTGACAAGAAAAAAAAAAAGCGGCTCTGCCAAGCCTATTCCGGCTCCCATTCATTTGCGTCCCAGGGCTAACTTGTAGTCATCTCTGTATGCTTACAGAGATGTAAGGTCTTCACCAGGACCCGGCTAGCACTAGGTCTGCTTAAAGGGTAGGTGCCGGACGGGCGGGCGGGCGGCTCACTGTCCTCCCCGGGGACTCCCGGCCGCCGCCCCGCCGCGTCCTCGGCTCAGCACCCCCAGCCTCTCCGAGAGGGGGAGCGAGCATGGAGAAACAAGTGCTCCTAAACTGAAGCGTTCCTCCGTTCCTCCGTAAAACCAGATGAAAACCTGCCCTTGAGCCCGGTGGGTGCGCGGTAAGGCAGAGTTCCCTGACACAGCGAGAGGAGCTGATCGCAGTACGAAACGGAGAGGGGAGGGCAGAAGAGCCTGCGCCCTCCCACCCCTTTGCATCCGTTTGTCTTGCAGTTATTCAAAATGATTGAGTTTTCTGAAGAAGGTCCTTTAGAGAGAGAACAAAACCAGCAACAACCTCTTCCTCCAAAAACAACAAGAATATCAACCTGTCCACTGGCAAGGCTTCGGAGCTTAGAGGCATTATAGTAAAATTTATGGCGTCCTTAACAACTCCCAATAAAGGCATTAAAATTCCCTTTAATTGAGAAAACATTGATTTTTAACTCTGGAAAGAACGAACCCGTAATTTAATTGCAAGCTTTCACCGACAGAGCAGCATCTCAGGGAGGCCACATTCCATCTTTAATAGAGCCACTTTATGAAGTGATAAAAACAAAGAAAACCTGACAAACAGAGACAGTTCCAATTGCGCAAGAAAAGTTATCTGCTTTCCCTTTCCCTCTTCGCAGCTCCAAACTATCGCGCTCTTCTCTCCCCCTTCATCCCCCAGTCACAAAACACAAGTGTAAAAGCAAAGGGTTGGGGGTCCAAGGGAGAAGCAGTAGTCAATATCTTAAATAACGATTTGCTTTTACTAGGCAAGGAATGATGCCAAGAGTTTTAAGGGAACATTTTCACAAAATAGTAGACTCTTCTGAACAGGAAACTAATCAGATAAAACTTTCTTACTCTTCCTTGTTCGTTACAAAAATCATTGCTAAAGGGAAGGAAAGGGAAATCCCTTTCTGTCTTATTTCAGTATCGGGTTTTGGTATTACAGAAGAGTAAAGAAGTTTTTGTTTGGTGGTTTTTCATTGATCAGTCACTCTGAGCTAATGTAATTATCCTCATCAATAGAAGGCTGCAGAGAGAATCATTATGTGGGTGACATTGATAAATGATCACCCAAGAGCTGCCTTTTCTCTTGGGCACCCCCACATATGACCCTCCCACATACACAAGGTAGCCATAGAAACACCTTGAGATCGTCAAGCACTGCTGCAAATGGGAGAATGCAGAGAAAGAGAGAGAAATCCAACTTCACACACTTTCTATTCCTGTTGAAGCCTCTTTCCCATAGCACGGAGCCACTGAGCCGGGCTCCGCTCCGCTGTCCTGCACCGTGGGCACGCAGCCGGGGCCCGGCCCCGCGCCCTTTCACGGCACCATATTAAGTATTGGGGGGAGGGGGAAGTCTTATGGGGTTTGCCTCTGGCTTTTTTTGATCTGTTTTTTCCCTTTCTTTCTCTGTAAAAATTAAGCAATGAGGTTGCATGTACCATACGTATTCTACGCGCATTGCGTAACCGCCTAGTTTGAAAGTTGCTCTTGGAGATGCACAGCCACAATATTCACCCCGTCCCCAGTAGCGCGACTCTTAGACAAATGATTTAACCCAAATTAGTAGCAGTGATTTTTTTAGTCACAGGACTATACAAGAAGATTCTGTGTTTCTTACGACGGCAAAGATTAATTTTTTTTCCTCCGGCTGCAGCCCCCCATTTCATGCAAGCAAATTCTAAAATATTGAGAGCAGTAATTGATTCATAATGATCCATAAATCCATGCAAGGAATGGGGCGAGGGTGGGGGTTTTTTTGTTGTTTGTTTGTTTGGGGTTTTTTTTGGTTGTTTGGTTTTTTTTTTAATTATTCCTAAAGCTGCAAGTAAAGTAGGTTTGACACCGTGTGGGGATGAAGGGGAGGAGTTGTTTAGCCGTGCGGGGTCATTCATCATCACTGTCGCAGAGACTCTGCCCAGAGGAGCAACCTCCCTTCTGTCTGTCTCTTTCTCGCCACCAAAACTATTAATATTAAAATCTGCCTGCAACCCTTGCCCCCACCCTCCCCTCATCTCGCCCGGTCCTGCTCAGCCCTTAGCTGCTGGGCTGCCCAACCTGGAGCTGGCTCGCTTCCGCGCAGCGCCTGCGGGGTTGATTTTTCCCCAAATGCTGTCAGGAGAGTTAAAAATCCGGCCCCATTTCCTGTCAGCTGAATCCAGGGACGTGGCAGGGGAGATTTGTGGGGCACAGACACCCTCCCACGCCGTGGAGCCCTCTCTTGCCACTCCGCGCACCGCGGCGACGCGGTCGCGCCTGGGAAAAAGATTCGGGCGTTTTCCGGGCTCCATGGGATTTCTTCACAGCACGCGCATCAGGGGTATAGTGGGGCTAGTGGCTCCGGACCGGCCCCCGCAAAGGCGCCGCCAGGAGACCCTTACTCCCCTCGGGAAGCCTGGGGAGCCGCTGGAGGGATGGGCGAAACCTACCGGGAGAGTGGGTCCAGCCTGTGACCCCGCCGCACCCCTTTCCCTGCCCGGCCCGGCCCCGGCCCCTCCCCGCCCCCCCCCCCCCGACCCTCGCAAACCTGGTTGGGGGCAATTCTCTCTCCCTCGTTCTCTCTGCGGCTATGAGTGAAAGGGGGGCGCGCCCGGCTCCCCCCGGCATTTCCTCTTCGGCCCCGCGGTGCCCGCTCGCCGCGACGGGCAGGGCTCGGGCGGCAGCGCTGCCGGAGGTGCGCTCCCCTCCTCTCTTCGTTTAAAAGGCAGCAAAATCTGGAAGAAAAATCCCTCATTTATGGTGACTACAAGGCCCAGCCCAGACCCGATCGGCGAAATGGAAATTTGGGATTATAAACGTGTGTATGTAAACAAAAGGTGTTTCTTCTGTTACCCTTCTTTTCCCACAGCATAAGCAATTTTTATTCAGACTCGAGTATTTTCTTTAACACTATACCGCTGTCAAAACATTATTCCCGTTTTGTTTGCTTTTGACAGCTGAGAGGTTCTTAAAAATAACAAAATCGGAACCTTCCATGCTAAACAGTAAATCTCAGATGGAGAAATCTCTGCACGATATTGTACCTCGGATTTCAGCAAGACATCTCACGGAAAGCACAGCCCAAAAGGGTGAGAAAAAAAAAGAAAGAAAATAAAAGACAACACAGCAATGCACATATTTAGTTCATTATAAAAACAAATAATCTACTATGGTTAAATTCTTCCCTGTCCTTCTACCAGTGTGAGGACCTTTTCTAACATTTCTCCTCAAATTGTAGAGAAAAGATCTGAATGGAAATAAGGTCCTGATTAAAAAAAAAAAATTGAAAGCCTTCCCTTTAAAGTGCTAACACAAATAATCTTGCCTTCATGTTTTCCGCATCCACAAAAACCAGAAATTTGGAAATGGGAACCCAGGGTGTGCTCTTCTTACACGACTGAAGGGTTGATGTGATTTTAACCACGACAGAGTTAACCAAAGCCAAGTAGGGAATTATCATCTTAATTTCATACGAATGCCTTATAAATGATGCCCACAAAACAGGACCCGAGTGCTAAAAAAATCCTCACACCCATTCCACTGGCATCGTCCCTTCTGTTGCGAGCAGTGTGGGTCCATTTACTCAGCTCAGAAATTAAACATTCACTGTGAGGCTGAGCCTCTTTCCACATTCCAGAGGTAAAAGTTGTCACTCAAAGTTTTCAATAACACCCCGGACAGTGGGAATGACGAGGAGGAGGAAGGAGAAGGCTTACAAATTTACAGATGTTGAAGTCAGTAACTTTTGTTTCCTAGAAAGTTGAGGAAGCCCTTTACAAACCCTTTCTCACTCCTCATCTCCCAGAAATAAAGGTAGTTTTCCCCTGCTCTTTGGGCCCCATCCTGCTCTTGCTGACTTAACCGTGCCACCGAGGACAGTGAGAGGCTGCTGACAGTGAGAGGCTGCTGTTTCTAACAGTGCTCGTCTTCCCATTTCAAACTCTCCTTTAGTTGCTTCAAAATGCCTTAAGCTTTTGTGTGAGTAAAACCAAATCTTCACCCATGATTCTGCTCCAGCTATTTATATACAAAATGTCAAATCAACATTTTCCCTCATTAGCTGATGGTTTGTTGTTTTGGTTTTTTTTGTTTGGTTGTTTTTTTTTCTTCTGAAAACAGCTGAAGACAAGAAAAGCAGTAAAAACCATCTCATAAGATAGATTACACAATCCTCACACAGGAAAAATTCCCATTAAACTCAAAGCTTCTTTTCTCTTCCTAAAACTTTCAAACCTACTCCTGCAATAAGGCCGTTCTTCCCCTCTGAGCTAAATACCTGGAGTTAAGGTCTGTGGTGGTTATGAATGCACGCACACATACATGTAACACACATGGGGTTAGTTGTCTCATGTCTGGACCTTCACAACTCAAACTCAGCTAAAATGTTATTAGCAGATAGTATGGATATTAGACACATCTCTCTGAAATGCAAGATGGTGAGACAATATTTCAGATTTTGCTTAGTCTGGTATAAATCTAATATCAATAATCAGCAGAAATATATAACCTCAGATGTCCTTTCATTCAACTATTCTATTAATGCAATGACAAGCTTGTTTCTGATTTTTCCAACCTTTCTTCTCAATGCTGATAAAAAATGTGTTCAAGACATCTCTCCCGATAACTTCACATTCTCCTAAAAATAATTAAAAACACAAAAGCCTAACAAAAAATCAAAAATGAAATATTTATTACCGCATTTTGTGACTTAACACCTTTTTTTTCTTTTTGAAACATAACGTCACAGTCCTCATACAAGTATTTTAATGTAAATTTTGACAAAGCTTAAAGGTAACAGCATTTTCTTCTAGTGAGGAACACGTGCTGAGAAAGGAAGAATTCATGGACATACAATACCAATTCCACAGCAGATCTGATACTAGCAAAAACATTCTTTTTTTTTTCAATTGAGGTAAACACATAGAATATCTAACATGAAACAATTAATAGACCGAACTCTGTACGAAGTTTGTTACAGTATTCTCTTGCTTTTTTCTTTTTTTCCCAAGCTTTGAGTTCATGATAAAGTCCTAGGTTTGGTGCAAAGACCATTAGTAACTTCTTTCATTTAGGAAAGCTGCCCAACTTTTAGTTTTGTTTTGTCCAAAGCCAAGGCTCAGAACTACTGGAAGAAGCTTCTGCTCTGTCTGTTCTGTCTTTTAAATCTTCACCTGCAAGCTCTTTGAAGAAGAGTCCAAAAAAAAAATAGATTGGGAAGGAATGGGGAGATACTTAATGAAGCACGAACAATAAAGATCTGTTTGAAACTAAAGGACACATTTTATGAAGGAATGAAATGAGGGAATGGCAAGGCCTTCTTGGAACAGTCTTCTGAGTGATGAGAGACCCAGCAAGACTTTTTTTCTTCATCTCCAGGGTAGTTCTTTTCTCACTGGCCAAAACAGGTCTTTCATGTATAGTGACTTCACTGCTGAACCAAAACAGTCATTCTTTTGGGAACAACACACATAGTGTGGAAAACAAGGATTTTTTTTTCTTCTAAAACTATTTGAGGCAACGTAACGGAGTGATCAACAGAAATGTACAAGTTAACTTAGTTCCTATGTTTATACTACAGTAGTTATAACTCTTGGAGTCTTTTTTTTTCCAGAGGATCTGTACATGGACATATTCATTTCAGTGAGCCCATGATTTCACATTTGTGTTCTTGTTTCGTTGGTCCTCTGTTGTTGATGAAAAATGACAAAAAGTAAAAAATAATCACAGCTGTCTGGAATTTCGTATTAAGTGTCAACATCTGGTCAAAGTTCAAAAGTCTTAAAATAGTTTCTGTTTGTCTTTGTTTTATTTTTCCCTTGAGTTCCTTTATACTATTGGGCATGAATGTCCATAACCTGTCCACCAACACTGGGGTCTACAGAATTTAACATTGTGGGGCTCTGTGCTGACATGGTCATTCCAGGATGGGTAGGGGGTCCTCCGTGCATCATCATGGCTGGGTGGTGGGGGTGACTTGGCAAATATGAATGGATTGGGGGTCCATGTCTTAATTGAGTAGGGTGTGGGGTCATCTGGGGAGGAGTGTAACTTGGCTGTGCCATACTCATACCCATAGGACCACCCTGAGATACGTAGTCCCCTGGCATGCCTTGCAAACCTAGACAAAAAGGGGGAAAAAAAGCAGGTCAGATTCCTCAATGTTTTTACAACTTACCCATCTAAAATGAACAGGAAAAACAACAGACACTGCAAATCTTCCATCTAAAATTAGCTGCAGATTCTTGCCAATGTT